GATCATTAAATATGTATATGCCAAAAATACTACTTTTTCTTTATACTGGCTTTTCAAAATAGTAAACAAGACAATTAAGAGACAGGATACAGTTAGTGCAGGATAACATTCTTGGTAGTGAAATAGAAAAAAAAAAAACTCATACAAAAGTACAAGCAGGGCAATCCACTGAAAAATAAAAAGATATTCTCAGTTCATAACTGTGATGCCTATATTCACTCGATGCTTATTATTTCTGTGCTCCATCACTCCTAATATTACATATAAACTGCACAGATCTTCCACCATATAAAGTGCAGTGTCACTCTGTAAGCTCCCCCCCTGTAGGAACTTACTAGATAGTCATGACCTTATAATGAACTAAGACTAATGCGCTTAATTCCCACCTGGGGAAAGTTCTTTTTTTCTGGGTTTACATTTATGCAATGTTGTATTACTGCACTCTGGTTAATGTATTTAATTTAGTGTTGTGCATTCTTGCTATTAATGTTATATCTTTTGGGATATAGTGTAGTTGTAGTTTTATTTATAAATAAATACACACAACAAAAAGATAAGACCATGGCCGTTTCATGGACAAGAAGAGATCCAGTATAGTTGAAATAAGTCTCCATAAACCCATCAATGTGTTACGCTTGGTTTCTTAGTGCTTCAAAGATAGCTCTTGGACATAAATTGGATTTATACTGTCATATGTAGGGAGGAGAGAAATTTAAATTAAAAAAACAAAAGCCTGTTGTACCTTTCTTACCGAAAAAAAAAAATCTTAATTTAATCTTTCCATATTAACTGCAATGCATTTGGCTGAAGAATTTTGCCAGAATTTAGAAAAATAATGTCTGTATTGTCCTTACAGCCAGCCAGTCTCTACAATTGACTGGTGCCATTGCAATTTCAAAAGGAAAAACTTCAACAAGCAGATGCCTGGCCTCTATAGCCATTGCTGAGCTTCAGTAAAGTCCAGATAAAGAAGAACCCATCTTTGATAACAGTACCAGGCTGTACTCATATCAGCTTAAAATATCGGAAATAATCTTTATTTTCCTGTTGGCAAACTGCTTGTTTCATCTTTGTACCCAATTTAATCACCAATACAATATTTTTTTATGAAATCACAACAGTTACTATCTAGATCAAAGCATACCTTTCCCTCTATGTGAAAGAGGGACACATTGCAGCACAATGTATTTAGGCAATGGACACACCACTGCCACCCACCAGTTATGCGCACCATTAAGAATTTATATGCCAAAAACGATTGGTTAAACCCATAATTGTTTTTTTTTAACCATTACTTCTCCTTTAT